AAAATTACTTTATTCCCACTGATCACAGCAAATATAGCTGCAAGGCAGAGAAAGGATAGAGTAGCTCTTCGGTGCTCCTGCAATTGCAAGTGCGGTATTTCCCCCACAGACCACCAGGGCGGCCGAGAATACCTTTGTTCAACCTGAAATGAATCATTTAATCATCCAAAACGTTATGGAACACATTAATTAACTGAAAAATGTTGCATAGTGTGCCTTTAACTGTCAGGTTTCAATATGTGCTTTATCTTCTCCTTTCCTTCCTTTTACAGTCTGGACAACAGTCCATCGATCTTTAGTGAAGTGATGTTGGATTTCAATTTTGGTGCTGCTCCTCTGAATTCAGATCCCTCAGATTTCATGTTGATGTTTGTTAACCCTGGTTCTATCCCTGCAGAATGGTATGTGCACAAAAAACTGCAGAAAACACCGTTAGGTTATGCAGTGTATATGTGAGATGAAAAATCGTTAAAAAGAAAATAAGTTTTAAACAATTGCACTGATATTCTTTATCTATGAATGAATGAATCATTTATTTTATACTTGTGTTCAATCATATAGGACATTCTTATTTCCAGAGGACCAACAGATGGAGCTGGAGGACTGGGCCTTAGCAGATTACACAGACCTGCTCCCTGTGAAGGTGGTACCATATGGTTATACACGTGTTATTATTCATACCCATGGTGGATTTGGAGCTAGTGTTTTATCCAAACAAGAAGTTAGTTTTTTTTAATGCATTCACCAAAGAAGATTATAAGTCAAAGTATATCATTATTATTTTTTTTTTTTTTAAAAAAAGGTCATTCCAAAATCCTGTGATCATTTTAAATGATCAGTAGACAAGTGCTTATTGGATTTATTATAGACATAAATTTGGGTTAATTAAACATTAGAGGAATAATAAAAGCATAAAAAACAATATTAAATCAGATCTTCATTTTATAAATGTATTGTTTATTTTCAGATTTCAGACAAACAACTCTTTCGAGTGTCCCCTCGTTCTGGAACTTTGCTTCCTGGCCAGAAGAAGGCAGTACGCTTCACTTATAGGTCAGGGATGCACAGGTTCCCATTACAACCTGTTTACAACTATTATTAAGCTTTAAAACTCATAATAAAAAAAATTCTCTTATACCTTTTAAGTATAAGATGTATAACCTAACGTAACATCTAATTTGGTAAAATCTAGATTTACATCTTTTTCTTTACAGTCATGACTTCATTGGAACTAACCAACTTTCTGTGTTGTTCAAACTCAATTTTGGCAGTGAAATTCTGGTGAGTTTTTTTACACTTAGCTTTATTTTATACTGTAGAAGTTCTGAGCTCTGTTTGATTGGCCTCAGATGTCAGAATTTTAAAGGAATGCAATTCACTACAGTAAGAAAATAGTGACATTTAATACTTGTACTAGAAGAACAGACCTGTATAGGGTACGAGTAATTGATCATAATTTCATAACTATGAAATGTATCCAGTGAAATCACATTGTGTTTCTCTTGCAATATGTTTAAAGTAGAAAATTTCCTCTTCCTTTCAGATGTAGGACATACCATTTATATCATAAGATGAGCAGAATTCAGTGAGACCCCTTGTTTAACTTTTATGACGGGCATTTTATCCTTAGAAATGGACCAAAATTCAATTGATAAAGTTGCATCCACTGCAGGAGCATTTTCAGCAACCGAAGTATTTTTTTGGGGTGTTGTATTTCGTCTTGCGTTTCCACTGCAGGAACCTGGTCCAAAATTTGGTAGACATTCTGAAAATCTATTGTAAAAAAAAAAGAGGCAGTACTTTTTAAATTAACCATGATTTAAAGGTAGAGATTTGTGTTGGGATGATGTTTTGCATCTCTCAATTATTATTTTTTCTTTCATTATCCCCCAGCTCATAAGGAGAACCTGATGCTCTTGCCAAACCTTTTTAAGAGATGTTTTTATTCGTTAAGTCAGAATATATTTATATATCCTCCCTTATATGAGCTATAACTCAGTCGTGGTTCTTTCAGGTACACTGTCCTTCATGTTCTAGAAGCTGCTCTGCTTCGTTACACCTGATTTATATTGCTGGCCGATTAACAGGCTTTTAAAAAGTTTAATGCCAACATTAGCAACTACCCAGGGCTTTTGATTATTCACCTTTTCTAAGGAATATATGGCGAGGAAAATGCTGCAGCAGCATATTGTTGGCTGTTTTTTTTCTTCCAAGGAGATACTTCTCACATACCCTACTACTGGTCCATTTATTCCTATTTTTCTGATTTACACATAAATTGAAGGAGTAGTATGTGGCTTTTAAATATGCAGTATGTAAATTTTGTAAAACAAACAAAAAAATATACCGGTATGTATTTTCCTTAACTGATATTTCATATATTTATTATCATTGTCCCCCTTTTATCTCCTCTTTCTTTAATCTTTTCTCCTTTTTCTTGTTTTTTTTCCCCGCTGTTCTACTTTCCCATTGCAGTCTCCATATAATCTGTAATACTCTCTGCATGAATTGTAATAAAGCTATTTACATGCATATATCAAATGGAACAGAATTTTGTTCCGTTTGATTTATGCATGTAATTTTGGACTCAGAATTTTGGACTAACAGTCAGGGGAACATGCTTAGGAACCCATAGTGGAAGTGCTCCTTAAAGTTCAGCTCTCAATCCTTCATCTCTGGGTTGGCCTCTGACATCCCATGTTAAAATTCTGACATAGGGGGCTTACCATAAGATATTTTCTAAACTAAAATTCAGAAGTTCTAAATTGTCACATTGTCAACAGTTGCTTTTGCTAAGAGTATTGGGCCTGTTCACTGAGTATGAGGGGGAAATCAAACTTCTTCTCCAACCTGCAATAGCAGGTTAGCAATAGCTAATCATGACTTTTACATTATTTCCAATTGCAAATCCAACCTCTGAGGCATATCAAATAGAGCAAAAACATTTTCTGCAAAACAATAATAATGATTAAAAAAAAGATATTTGCTGTTCTAGGCTTAAACTTTTCTGTTTGCAGCTAAAATTTGAAGGAGTAACAGTCGACCAAAATGAACCATACATCCACTTTGCTTCGAATAACCATACGTTCAGGTCTATAGCTATCGGTGACTCCAGCCCTCCACAACAGGTAAGCCTTTTTTGATAAAAAAATAAAATATATATTAACATTAATAATCAATTAAATTTACTAAAATACAAAAGCCTCAATCGACAAAAAGTTTCTGATTAAAGTCTCACACTTTCATTTAATGTGTTTAGATGTACGAATTGTACAATAGTGGAGCAGTGGCAGTACATTATGAAGTGGACCAAGCAGTGTTGTCACAGCTTCAGATGGATAACTATAATCATCCAGTATTGAGATGCCTCAGTCCACAAGGAGACATTCCTCCTGGAAATAAAGCCACCCTTGAATGGATCTTCTCTCCACTGGAGGCTAAGATGTACCATGTATGACTGAAATCAGAGTGATATGAGTTCACAGTGTAGATTGATGATAATAAACCACATTGTATAGTCATTTTCTTCCACTGCAGTCTATAACTGGGCAATTGATTTCATAGGCTTGTCCCTAAATTGTTTTGTTTGTATCATGAACAGATGGATGTTCCTATCCACATCCAGGGTAGGGATTCAAAAGTAATCAAGTTTGAGGGATGTGGGATTAATGCATCATCTAACCTCGTTCAATGCAATGATAAAAAGGAGCTCTTTGTCCAGAAGATGCCATTCCCAGGACAGGTAAGTGCATTTATACGCACAGTTGCCACCTTCAGCGGGTCATTCACTTAAATTCTGTAACATTAAGATCTTGGCAGATTCGACTTTCTTTGAAACATGGTTAAGGCTGTGAATCTTGTATTACCCAAGTCTCCCAGATTCTCCTCTGACTGCATGAGTTTGTGCAGGTGGCTTTCTTGTCTGAGGACACGGTCGTTTTGGGTCATATCCCTGTTTACACAACGTCTTCTAGAATCATCTTCCTCACCAGTTTGTCCAACGCAGACACTCTTCACTACCTCTGGGAAATTCCCACACAGCACAATAAACAAGTTTGTTCTACCAATTATATATCCCTAAACAAACAACTACATGGCTCATCATTTTATAATCTACCTTCATTTTCTCTTATGTTTTAAACAGGTGTTACAAATCCAGCCAGAGCGAGGCTGCCTTGGTCCAGGAGAGTTTGCTCTTTGCGTCCTGACTTACGTATCTCATTATCCTTCTGTTGATCAGCTTGATCTCATATGTCAGGTACAAAGTTGTTGCTCTAAAATCGATCCAAACTGTTTGTCATGTTATGACCTCAAACTTAAATGTACTTTTGGGATTTTATGCAACACATTAACACTTAAGTAATGTAAAATTATGGAGTAAAAGAAGTGGAGTTTGAAAGCTTGTTTTATTTTTGTCAGAGGTTGATTTGAGAACATAACGGCATGAAGACCAAGGATCTCTTCAGAGATGTCTGGCGTTATGTGTGAAGTTGTGCAGACAGTTAAATAAAGATTAGAAAACGATATCCAAATCTTTAGAAATAATACAGCTTGTTACAGCTCCAGACCTACAAAGACCTGCATGACTGTCTATATAACATAACATGGTGAAAAAGGAATCACTGTGATGAGGAGCAACTCAACACCGTGCATCACCAAGCCAAATTTATTCATGGAAAGTTGCATAAAGTTGCGGAGATGCCATCTTCGGGAAATATAGCGAAGACAATCATTTTCCGGCTCCTTAAAGGGGAACACCGTTCTTTTTTTACATTGGCCCCTTGATTTTACGTTATTACATCATGTTCTACTCACCCATATTGGTTTTGTGTCATTTGGAGCTGTTCCGAAGATATTCGGTTTTGTTATATCCAAGTAACATCTTCATATGGGCAAAGAGTTGAAGGCACAAACTGTTCATAATGTATTCTTTATGGTACTCCAGCATTCATACCATATAGAAGCACTGTCCCCCAGATTTCGATTTTTTTTAAACAAAGCGGAGTGTGTAGTACGTCATCCGCGCGCCGGACTGGAGTTGTGACAGGCAGCCCGGGCCACAGCCGGCTACGCTCTCCCCCTTCTATTCATTCAGCTAGCTAATCTGAATTGTTCAATTCCATTTCGAGAGCGAGATCATCTGTGGTAGTAGCACTAGACATCTTCCAGGGATGTGAGTAAAACTAGCAGCAGTTCAGCGGACAGGATGAATGAATGGTAGCCGGCGCGCGCGGATGACGTCATACACACTCTGCTTTGTTTAAAAAAAAATATATAGATATAAAAAATATAACCGCGGATGTCTGGGGGACAGTGTTTCGCCTGCATGTTATGAATGCTACCATAAAGAATAAATTATGAACAGTTAAGTTTGTGTATTCAACTCGTTGCCCATAGGAAGACGTTATTTGGATTAATGAGTCAATGCAATCAACTGGTTTTCCTTAGATAGAAAACTTTGTATCAATTTGATTGTATGATCTGGTTGTGAATTTGGCGCTATATAAATAAACTGAATCGAAAATTACAAAACTAATATCTTTAGAACGGCTCCAAATGACACAAAACTAATATGGGTGAGTAGAACATGATGTGAAAACGTAAAATCAAGGGCCCAATGTAAAAACAAATGGTGTTCCCCTTTAAAAACTGGGTGGAAATTCACCCTTCAGCAGGTCGATGGTACTAAACAGTCAGACAGTGTTACGATAGTTTTTTTTAGGTAAAAGCTTATTTATTAATTAAAATGGCCAAGTCAAAGTCTGAAAAGAAGTAGTATTGATAATATTTAGTTTGATTTCGATTACAAAGGGTGGATCTTAAACATAAATTTCATCATTTTATGGTCTGCATCAGAGTTTAGGTTATATAACTGTAGTCCTGTGATATGTCAAGATCAAATGAACTAAAGTTAAAATATTAAAATAAGCTATGTTATTTTGTGGAATAATTTAAATACAGATGTCTCCAAATGTAAATAGCAGTAGAGGGAAAGACAAACTTAAGCAAGATGGTTCAACAAAAAATTTAAATTTTCTTTTCACTACATAATGTTGGACAGTACTACTCCAAATAGAATACATAGTTTGTTATTCTTATTTGACAAAATGTGAAAAGATTAAGAATTTCCATTAACTTTTTTGCAAGCCACTGTTGCAGATGTAAGAAATAGAATGTGAGTTTTCCAATAACTTAAACTGATCATTTCTGCCCATGTTTTCTGGAACATTCTGTCTTTATCCAGGTTACTCGACAAGCTGCATTAGTGCAGTATCAACACGAGTTGAAGCGCTGGGAAGCAGAAAAAAAACGTCAGGAAGATGAATTCATAATCACCGACAAGCGTGCCTCTGACTTTCAAAGAGTTTTAGTTGATGAGGTCTGACTTAAATATGTCTTGTAAAAAAAGGAGTCTTTTTCATAATCTTTACAAGCTGTGATTTTTTTATACAGATATCCCTCACACCTCCTGCAAGAAAAGAGAAACCCCTTATAAAATACAAGGTTCTCTTTATTCTCAGTCTAACAAAGACACTTCTTTTTACACAGTGCGTTGAAATATGACTCTTTGAGAGAAAAAAACCCTTTATTTTCTGTTACTGCTCCATTGCAGACTCTTCCTCCTATCTCTGGCAGCAACAGCAGCAAAACAGCTGGAATTTTATACCCCAAACAAACAAGAGCTGAGAAAAGGCTGCAGCGAGAAGCAGCGAAAGTATGGAGGCGCCCCAAACCTCCTGAACCTGCTCTGCTGCATCTGAGTGTGACAGCCCACTCCCATGACTGTCTGGACTACTTCACACACTTTCCTGACCAGTACAAGAAACATCACAGGTAAAAAAATTTCCCCTACACTGAATTACAGCATTTTGCTGAAATCCATCTGCATTTCATCTTATTAAAAATTCTGTGATTATTTTTTTTATGCATATCCCCTCACTTTACCAGGAGTCAGGGTATCGTACTTGATTCTTCAGGCCAAAACCTCCCTGCTGAGCTGTTTTCATCATCACCGCCCATTGGGAGAGAGATCTTGGTGGATGTACTTACTACTCTTTACAAGTAACAAGCAGAGAAAATGCTCAGTGTCAGAGGAATCCTTCCCTTTTATGTGTTGTTACTAATTTTTCTTTTACATTGCAGAAATCTACTTGATGATGCAGCTTTAGCAGAGTTTCTGATGGCTTTAGCCTCCAAGCCTCCACCCTACCAGGCTCACATTGCTACATGTCCGCCCTCCATTTTACCATCTTCACCTCAACATTCTGTTCTCATGAATTCGACAGTAGATGGAGCAAGAGTAGCAGAATGTTTAGAAGCAATTCCTCTAAACCAGACACCTCCGGGGTCTCTGCATGTTCCTGCAGATTTAACTGACTGTGTTTTGTTAAACACGCTGCAGAACATAATGATGGAGGCTGTGAGAGGAGAGCTGGTCCTTACAGCACACCCCCACAGCATCATGCTACCTCCGCGCTCGATGAGGTGAGTACAATCACTGGTCCAACAAAAATCTGATTATTTACTAGTTTTTATACTGGTTCTCAGTTCATGTCTGCAACATGTACTTTGTATGTTTTGTCTTATTTTAGGAGCCGGCAGGCTTTGGCTGAAGAGGACTAATCTACCCAGCATCCAACAGGTCAAAATCCATCTATTGCTTTCTTTGACATCCCACTTCTGTTTTCTAGATATGCTTTGCAAAATAGTATGATTCAAATAATTGATCTAACTGCAGGAATTTGATAGATATAATTTTTTACATTTGTTTGTGCATTTAGTAGAGACTTATAGTCATTTTGTCTTACAACATAAATTGAAAGTGACTTACAAATAGTGTGCAATGCCAATAGAAATATATTGTTTGAGATCAATTTATCACAATCAGGTGTTCAACTGGTTATAAAGGCTAACAGAAAATTTGCCTATACTTCTTAAGATAGGGGCCAAAGGCATATCCTTTCATCTGCAGAAAGGCTGCAAATATAAAAACAAAAAAAGAAAGAAAAACAAAAAAAGAATTTAAAAATCACTAAAAAGTCCCTTTTCAGGAATTTCATGTAAAGGATTTATAAGCATCTGATAGGTAGGCAGACAAGACACAGACAGACGGACAGATACACTCAATTAAAATGATTATATGTATATATTCGTGTGAATTTATAAAGCCTATGTATGCATATTATTACATTTTATCTTAAAATGTTTTTGGAGTTTACAAGTTAAATATGACCAAAATATATTATTTTTGAACTTTATGTGAAACACTATGGGCCGGATCGATCAAAAAGCACTGTGTATAAAAACGTGAGCTATTTCACTGCGCACGCTAAAAAATGTACAAACTGATCTATCAACAGCGTGCTAAAAGGATTTGGTCTTTAAAACGTGCTAAATAGCGCCTCTTATCCATTTAGTACTTTTTCTGCAATGAATATGCAATATGGGGCGTTTACACGCAAAAGTGCATCTTGTGGGAGGAGAACACGTAAATATATTAATTTAGCACTCGCAAAGTGATTTATCAAACCTGAAAGCAATTTTGCTGACGGTATCTGACTCTATATTACTGCACGCAAAGTTGGATCTTGATAAATCCGGCCCTATGTCTCTAATACCTGTATGTGCTTTTCTGTGCAGGATCCTGGAGGAGCAAGCCTGTTGGGAGCTGCAAAAAAATTGAGTTCAGGGTCTTCTATACACCCATTAAATAGTTGAGATCAAAGAGAAAACCCAAAGTGCCCAAGATTTCTTTTCTTGCCATGAGGAGCCAGAGATGCAAGCTAATTTAATTGCTTCAGGAGCCAAAAATATTGTTCATTGTTAATTTTTACCTGATTAAAGATAACACAAATGCACAATATTTAAATGAAAGAAGCAAATTAGTCCTAATTCTAAAGAAAAGTGATCTGTAAATCACTTTTCTATAAAAAGAAATATTACATGAAAAAAATATTTCAATAGGTTATCTGGTTAGAAAAAAATGGAAAGCATAAAATGTCTTTTTACTTTTACTATCGTCTTGATTTTTCTTTGTGTACTTTAATCAGTCAGAACATGATATGGTTCACTCTTGCTTTATTTAGCAGAACTAAATAAACAGAGACTATCATTTCTGTTTATAAGGGAAACTCACTGGATTTTTGTATAAAGTATAGAAAAATTGTGTTCTAATAAAAAATACATTTTACGGTGCCTTACATTCACAATTGAGATAAGATTGTCCTTTGGATCTTTTTTTAAATTCTCGGATCAGAAAAAATACATCACCATTTTCTTCTAGCAAATCAAATTGATACCATTCTTAAATTGTGGTTGAGGGCCGAACAGAATCCTTCAAATAGCACTCAGGAAACACCTGGTCTTGAACCAAATCCCAATAGAAATCTGTGGCAGACTTGAAGTGCTTCCAAACACTTTACATCCAATTTGACCTAACTTACATTCTGTAACTGTGAGGAAAAATAAGCAGAACTGTCAAAATCTACAAAGCTGGTAGAAACATACACAAAATAAAAGTAATTCTACAAACAGCATAAAAACTGACTATTTGGCCGACTACAAGTGCTAGTATCATATTTCTATTTGTTAAAAGTTTCCAATATTGTGTCTTTTCCCTTGCAACTTACATTTAAACTCTATTTTGTCTTTGTCCCTAAAAGAAATAGTTGTAAAAGTCAGGTTTATGGTTGTTTATTGTGGTTTGGTACATCTCACATTGTTAACATCTCATTAACATGTCATTTTAAACTATTCAAATATATGAACATTCAAATTTTAGATTTGTCTTTAAATTTATTAAATAAATGCCAGACATTAAGACATAAAAAACAACAGCTTTATTACACATAAAATTTACAATAGCTTGTACAATTCCGGAATAACTTAAATAGTCATAAAAGTTGATTGGAAATTGAATTCCAGCTACAACAAAAACAAGCAGAAAGAAAATACCCCAAACAAAATATATTTTACGTAATTACATAATTTTACTGAACCTAAGGCCAGTTGGTGAATACCGTTAAAAGTCAAATGGGAACCAATAGGAAGCCCTTGAAAAAGTGCAAAACCTGTAAGGTTTTGGTGTCTTTCACATTGAAAAGATCATTTTTATTTCCCCATAATCTTGCTATCCAGTCAGTGTAGATTAGAATATTTGAATGTAGCCTTAGTATGGATGCTCTTATTTTAATCTGTAGGAGGATTTAATCTGCACTTGGAGATGGCAGGTAAAATCTTGTCATGAAGGTATTTGACCTGTTGCTCCTGAGTTTCCTGCTTCTCAAATTCAAAGTAAGGGATCTAGAATCCAGGAAGAAGAAAAAAAACAAGAAAAATGTTTTGAAGAAGTTGAAAATTACTAGACAGAAAACAAAGTATTTTTCTAGGTGTTTGCGAAACATACCTCCACCACTTCATATCCTATCCTTTGGAGGTGTCTCCTCTTGGTGGCTTCCTTCCCCAGCAGGTGTTGCGTGTGCCTACAGAAACGGCTTGGACCATCCAAACACAGTGCAATTCTATGCAAAACCGGGCAAACAGTAGAAATATGAATTTTTTAATAAAAAAATAATTTTCCCAGTATGCAAAACAATTCCATTAGCTTCAAAATCATTCAGCATGAATTAGTATTTTCACTTCTTAAATGCCTAGAATGTCTTTTCTTTAAACATGCTCACTTATTAATACTTTGAAAAATACCAGATGACTCCGACAAGAACAGTTCTTACCTTTTGTATGTGTGTTCCCACTGAGACTGGGGAAGAATGAATCCATTCTCGTCCACAGAAATCTCCAAATCTAAAACACCAGATCTGACACAATGAACACTGACGACTAGCACAGCAAAGATCAATCAATCATAAAAAATGCAGTCCTAACTGTTGCTGTCTAAAGCTAAACAGGTGGCTTTCATCTATACAGGGTTCTTTTTTTGCCTTCAAGTCAATATTAGACATGTGCTTGAAACTATCTCCAGACGTTGCCAAAATAGATACAAAATTTGAGTATATGGCCTTGGAACTCTCTTTATAAAATACAAACTACAGTTCATTAGAGTTTTATTTCTATCTGACATTAGGAAAAATGAAAAAAAAAAATTTAAATTAAAATATCACTAGAGCTTACCAACAGTATATCCAATAGAAGTGAAGACTCTGGTGGAAAAGAATTTCCCCCCTAGAAGCTGCACAAGTGGGCCTGTGACCTGTCTGTACAGTAATGTCTCCATAGGGCTCTCAAAGGCCTGATCAGGGGAAGAAAACTTCTTCATATGGAGAAAGAAGGGAAGTTTGGGACCCTGAAAGTTAAACAGGGAAAGAAAAACATTAGTTTTATTTATAAAGATCACTGCCATTGAGTTTTCTCAAAGAAAACATTTTTATTCTGTTTTTTTTGTTTGTTGCTATAATAATCAGACCATTAATGAAAATTCAAGCTTACCAAGTAGCAAGTGCACTCTAATGAGGCAGAAAGATGGAGCTGTGTTAGTTGTCCCAAAACAGTCTTGTCCACAGGTTCACTGTTTGCTTTGTAGATGAGAGAGATTATTAGTTTATCCCGTTACGGATGGTTTTCTGCAGCAACTAATAATAAAGTAACAGCAATTATGGGAAAGTGAATGGGGCTAAATGGGAAGTTGAATGGTATAAGGTCATAGCTTAGAATGGCACAATCAACAACTACACATAAATCTAACTAGAATATATACAGTAGCAAGACTTAAAAATGAGGTTTATACATGGTCCCCTGAATAGATCCGTGTAAATTCAAACATTTAGAATTTAAAAAGCTTCCTGGATGAGAAGCGAAACATCTTTAAAATTGGAAAACAAAGTCAAGTGGAATGTTTTTAACTTTTCTGGATTGTTAATTAACTTAATATATTCTGCAATAATGAAAATGTTATTTTAGAAGATGTCCAAGGACTGAACACTTTATGACTGACAGCTATTAATTGCATTGAAATGTAGACCTGCAGAGCATTGATTGAAGGATAATAAATACAAATGCATGCCCTACCTGTCAGGTTATATTTGTAAAAAGAAAAAAAAAGAATTTCTATTTATTTCAGTGTTGTGTTCATTTTTAAATAAGACCTTAATAGAAAGAGTAAACACTTTACAATTATTGTTTCTCCATTTGTATATTGTATGATTACACACTCAGTCATACCACTTATATAGCTATTGTTTACTCCTTACACATTTATATGAATGGATGAGTAAACAGTCAAACCTTCCCCTTCATTGTATTTATCGGCAGTCTGAGAACTTTAAAATACCTTGCAGTTTTTGTAGGAAGTATGGGCTAAAGATCCTGACCATGTAGTTGAGTGGAAAACGTTCCAGGTGTATGCATGCGTGCAGCACATCTATTAGGGATCGAGGCTTGAAGTTGGAAAATCTTGCCGATAAAACTTTCTCCAGCTTTTCAAACATCTGATTGGAACACTGAGGATTAAGCCATAAAAGAACAGATTATAATGTTAACTTATGATAAGGAGGTGTACTATCTATCTTGAATATTTTCTTTTATGTACTGGGATGTATTGGAGACATGCAACATAACCCTACAGTCTCACCTGAGGTAGGTAGTTGAGCCGCCCAATCGCAACAACCTGTTTAGTTATCTGCATGTCGGTGTGCGTCTCAGCGCTGCATACAAAGTTCTCAGCTACAGCCTCAAAGATCAGCTCAGACCGGCACCTCGTATGCAAACAGTAATCCATGACTGTACTGATCAGCTCTGGATCACACTTTCCCAGCCTGCCTGATTCAGAAAAAAAATAATTAGTACACTTTTTTTATTTATTGTCCCTGCAAATACACTAAAAGTCACATAGGAGTAGGTTCATCTTAATCTGAAGAGAAAATACCTGGAAGGTGTTTCTCCATAGCAGCTAGGAGTTCGTCATCATGTTGCTTCAGAATCATTAGAGCAGAGAGCACCTTGATTATTTCACCATCACTGAAATCTTTAAAGATCCGTGAAGCTCTGTGGGTCAGCCTCAGCACCAAGGAAATCGCCTGTAAAACAGAAAATCTGTATAGGAAGGCTTCAAATGCAGTAGGAGTGTAGATCCTATTAAATCCATCCTTTACACTTAAAATATTATTTGTCATATCATTGAAAGTATCTTAAGGTTTTTTCAATATTCTAAAACATGTTCAGCCATAGATTATCCCTATTTTTTTTACATACATGTTTGGAGCCAAAATGATACAATTTAAACTTTTAAACAGTCACCAAAACTTTCAGAATACCTCTACAGACTTGCTACAGCAGATTTTCATTATTTTAATTAAGATAATCTCCAGTTTGTCCCATTTGATGGTGCATCTGTCAGTACTGTACCTGTTTATGCTTTAACTTGACCAGAGACTGCAGAATCTCACTGACTTGGCTGGCTCTCAGCCTGTGGACCTGCCTTTGAGTCTGTCTGTGGAGAGCAGACAGCATCAGTGTTTGCCGCTGGCAGCTTGGCTCATAGAAGGCTGTCAGCAGGGAGTAGACTGCAGCAGCTTCACTGGGGGAGACCATATCCTCCTCTACAGCACAGATTATGGAGTTCAGGACCTCTGTCACCACTCTGGACCCACGGCCTTCCAGGGCACATGCTACCATTCCTAGATGGCAGAGCTGTGCCACCCCGACATCCCTGTTGGAAAGCAGCTCCAGACACTCTTTCACCAGGATCAGGACTGGAGGGCTGTGGGCCTCCAAGCCAAACTCAACACATGCTTCGAGTAAAGTGGCCAGTCCTTCTGCTCTGTCATTGCAGGAAAACTCTGCCAGCTTAGAGCACAAATCGATGATGACCTCCTCCTCAAACAGAGACTGGATATTAACAAGTGTCCCTTGCTGTGCATTAATGGCATAAGGTGTGTATGGAGACAGTTGTTGGGCTCCTCTGTCTGTAGGTAACTGTACCATGTTCACATCAGTGTGATAGGAGGTCATTTTATTGGCTGAAGATGCTGGAACCGGATAAAGTTTAGGAGCGCAACCTGCTGGGATCCGCGTCCTTTCTCTTTGGAAACAGCGCGCGTCAGTTACGCACGGCTGTTGCGCAATGACTGTTTTACACAAAAATTCAGGATCTTTGAGTCTTTCTGATGAGTTGCAGAGACTGAGGCCACGGTACAGAGGAAAACACACAGAGGCTTGCTGACATACTGTCCTCCACGACGCTGACAGACAGATGATGGACTTCATAATGAAAATGCTTTTTCCTGTGTAGGATAATCACAGTTTCATCAAACACACCCAATGTAAACCAAAAAAAAGTTTAAATATAACGTGAAAACTAAGGCTTCAACCAAAAGAAGTACAGAAACTCAAGAGTTCAATTTAAAGACAGGAACCGATTAAATTCTTCTAATACCAAAACTAATCCCATCAGTGCACTGATCAATAGCATCTTTCCGAAAGATTAAACACGACTTACCCTCAGTGAGACACTGTGCTCATGTAAGCCGGAGACATTGCCTGTTACATAGAAGTCGCCTTCAGTGTTTTGTAATGAAGTTGTGTAAGGTCGTTCACGTGCTTCCATGTGCTGCCACCCAGTGGCTAAAGTGTGTATTGCAAGCAGGCTACACCTACCACTTTAGTAGAAGGCTTTTAAGAACCTCATTATGGCCCCTATCAGTCAGGGGATGAAATGTATTTGGCAAGGCTGCCTGAAAAAGTGTCTTTATAAAAGTAGAAATCAAGCAGATTCTGGCAAATAAAATTAAGTGAATGCTCAATTTATAATAAAAGTTGCTGACACTTTCTTGAAATGGCATTCACACTTGTGTTCTTATTTAACTTTCACATTTTTTTTTTCATAAAGTGATTGCATTTTTTTGTAAAATGACTACTCAAAAAGTTAAAAATTATTTTTAATGTATTTTTTTCTGATTTTGCAATATTTATTTTTGAAGGGGTTCATAAACGTTTATATAATGAAGCTCGTCTTAAATGTGTAATGGAAATTGTTTTAGACATTTGTAGCTATATTATATTTAGCATCTTTCTATTTTTCTATAGCTTATGTTCATAAGCTCCCTGCTCAGTGAAGAATCTTAACTTGTTAAATGTTCTGTGGCCCTGGTCTGTCATGTTGTTTATTGCAGGTTATTACACATGTGGATCCTAAAGGATTTCAATGAAGATATTGTTAACAAAGGTCAGGTAAAGGTTGTAGTTAGGAAAGGCTTGGTTTCCTACAAATATATTTTTCTTATTTTTTTTATTTTTATGTTGCGCTATGGATGGAATTGTACTAATCATTATTGATCCCCTGATTACTCTACTGTCCTTATTTCACTCATAGATAATTGCTGTTGTTTAACTAATTTGTATTCCTGTAAATTCCAGTTTTAATAGTACATTTTCTCTTTTAGAGTTATTACAACAATAACTGGAGTAAGATATACTCTATGTGGAGAGTTAATTGAACACTAATTTAGAGTGGGACCAAATGTACTCAGATTGGTGTTAAATGTAACTATTAAAGTGTTACTTTTACACTGCAAAATTGTGTCTTTTTCCAGCCAGTTTTAAATCGTGTTATGAGGTTTTCTGCTTGATACTTCCCATTTTATACGCGTGGATGTTATGTTATTTTTACTTTTTTTCTTATCTTATTGTGTTGTGACTGTCACTATGTGTAAAGCTGCTGCTACACTGCAATTTCCCAGCTTGGGATAAATAAAGTACATCTATCTATCTATCTATCTATCTATCTATCTATCTTAAAGGAGATATTTTCTTTTTCACAACCAGCTATGGAAGTCCTCAAAAAAATAAAGTACATGTGTTGGGTTCATTTTGTTTTATTGATTCTTTATGCGATCCAATAGGAAGGCTATTGTTGTGTAAGAAACTTCTCATGTTTCTACCCTGCATTCCTGTTCATTTATGTTTTTTTCTCTAGAACTTAACAGTCTAGAACTTTTCACATAAAAACCTTTGGTATTTTTGGAGATTTTATGCCCTTGCAACTTATATGTAGTATTAATATTACTAAAATATCAGAACACGTCTATTCTGACCTCATTGCCTCGCTTGCTGACGTTGTTGTTCCCTCACTCTCCACAAGATGGCGGTAGATACATAGAAACAGTTTTATATACAGAGAGTTCTCAGTGTTGAGTTTAATTTTGGGAAAAAAAATACAATAGACCAAGACTCATTTAACTGTAACAAGAATATTGCTTCATCATAGCATACGTTGCATGGTATTGCAGTAAACTCTGATTTTGCTTTCTTTATGTTATACCATTACATTAAGCAAAAATCCTACTCTAATAATTCTCAAACTATTTATTTAAAGATTTTTTTTCTGATATTCATATTTGAGTACACATGTTTTTGTTGTTGTTGTTCTTTTTAATAAATGTGTCCCAAGAGTTTGTTTTGATGTTTGTCTGTTTTTGGCTGTCAGTGTTTCTAGGTTGATCCAAATGTCATCTGGACCCAAAATCTCTGAGACAATTGGTGTTAGTCTGTGTGTGAGTTTCTGTCTGTATCACTCATCTGACCACTCTATCTCTTTACAAACAAGCAGCCCCACTGCAGGCCCTCTGGACACAACTTGGACGAAGACGAAAGAGCAACAAAACCCAAAGTCTTCGGATAGGAGCAGGATAGGGAGCAGGGCAGAAGAGATAAGATCTTTTATAATAAAGTTACTGTTCTGCCAGTAATGCTGATGAATCACGCTGAGTCGTCATTCTGCCCCTGTGTGGCTTGTCTAAGAATCTGTATTAGTGTGTTTTTAGATTCAAAAAACGTATCTTCTTTCCGACTGAATTATCTGAAGGACTAATAGGGTTTTATGATGATCCAAGCCCTGAGCTGTACAAAACAAATTCCTTTTTCTATTTCAATGAGAACTAAAGTTCAACTATTCAATCTTTTTCTTTAACATTTCTTCCATTGGAGACACACTTGAATTAAATAATTATTAAAGGAGTAAACAAATATTCTAGCATTGAAGACACTCAATAAGTATTTCGGTGTTTATTCATCCTGTTCATTCTATGAAAAAATGTAGTTCTAGAGCTGTATGGAGTCATTGTCACATTACTGTCTCGTTTCTGAATTCCCCCACATTCTTTGTTGTGGACAGCTCAGGACTACAGACAGCCCATTTTAGCAGCTTCTTCCTCAGGCATGACTTTGTAATGTGAGCAGAATGTGGTTTTTCATTGTCTCTTGACAAGATTTTATCCTCATAACAGCATGTGTTACCATGAAGTAGCAGCGTAACTTTGTCTGGTATAAACTGTCAACCATTGCAAGATTCTTTTAAATGCTTAATTTAAGAAGAGATTTAGTGCTCATCAGATTTATAGGCACACCAAAAAATAAAATAAAATATATATATATATGGACAGCAAGCCTTAAAACAAATTTATAGTCAACATGTTATACTGAAAAACTAGGGAAATTAAACCATATAAGATCAGAACAATTATTCAGTAGGTAAAAAAGCTTTTACTTAACTCACTGGTGACATTAAGCCCTTTGCCAGCAGGAAATCTTGTAGCCTTTTATGACATTTTATTATGTTGGAGGATAAAGAGTTTAGAATCTCTGAACTTATCTCTTTGCATAATCAGACTAGAATGTCCAGATTCCTTGTTATTCTATTTATATGTTGTAATTTTACACATTTCCTATAGGATTTAGGTTTGGGTACCAAGAAGACCTTGAAAGAACATTGATTTTGGTTTCTGGTGAACCATGTCTGTATTTAAGTGAATGATTCTTAGAAGTCTAACAGGTCCACAGCATCACAGATCTCCCTCCATACACATGGGTATGACAATCATCAGATACTTATCCTTCCGTTCATTTCAGGCACTCTATAATGAAACAGACACACCTAAGCTTAGGCTTCATCTGACTTTAGCAAAGAGATCAAAGTAATGTCCATCTCTTTGATTGGATGCCTTCTGGACTCCATGCAGGAGGTGGAAACAAAAGGATCCTAACTGAATTAACATCTCTGTTGGATAATATTTCCCACCCCATACATGAGGCTGCAGAACTGGGGAGCTCCTTCAGTGACAGACTGCTGCACCCTAAATGCACCAGGGAGCATTATCACAGATCCTTCCTCCCAGCAGCTGTAAGACTTTATGAACACCACTGTGTTCAACAACCTAAATACGTTGCTACATTCATGCTGATTTTGCACAGTTTCTAGCTTAGTCAGTAAATAACATGCTGCAGTCATTTTGCACATCTCTGATGTTGCTGCTATTTTTTTTTAAATATCCATTATGTAAGAATGTCAATACCTGTATATTAGTTATTTTATTCTCCAGGTGCTCAGTTCTATATTTTTTAAAACACTTTACAGTACAGTATTTTGGTGTTTATCTTTTAACTCTTTACTAGTATATTATTCTTTTACATTTTTCTATGGTCCAGATTTGTGTGACAAAGTTTTCTATAATCTTTTTGCTGCTGTAAACACCAGAATTTCCCAAATGGGTTTTTATACTCTAAAATCTTATTAGACACTTAAACTTTATGTTTCTTATGATAGAGCCTAAAATCCATTTTTCCAAGCATGCCTCCAAAAGCCCCAGTATGGATGTTAATAATGTCCAGAGGATGTTGTAAAAAACTTGTAACACCTAAAGGCCTCTCTGATGGATTTATCTAAGAGAGCTTATAGCTTTTTCTTTTACCTCCTTTACTATTCTGCTTACTGTGTGCAACATAAACATACATCACCAGCCTGGACACATCATGATTAAACAACCAAGTAGTTATAGAAGTTTCTAGAAATTATGATAAGCCTTATAAATGCTGCATGTGTTATTTTGTTTTTGCAAAGCAAAACAAGACACATTTTCTTTCTGTATCATATAGCTTGATCCGAGTTTTGTCCAGAAACCTATTTCCTGTATTGATTTAATACAATTTTAGACACCAACAGTCATTCATTGATTTCTAATACCTACTTAATTCATGAAGGTGTTGTTGCTGCACATATATTTGCTTAGTAATGTTTAATTATATCATATATTGGAGATATATTCAAATTATTTCAACTTATTCAGTCAATATCTTTCTTATTTGTTTATAAACTTTAAACATGTAGCGATCAGCAAGGTAGAATTACAACTCAATCCAAATCTTTATGTCCCACAAACACTTACTGTATAGAAAACAGTCTGCTGCGAGTGTCTTATCCAGTTGTCCAAATTGTCTGCA